TTTTCCGCAGCAATTTAAGTCTGCCTTCAATTTATTCAGACTGGGTTGAAAGATAGGCAAAGTTCCGATTGTCACTCGGCAATCAGAGCAGATATTTGCTCTACGTTCTGGCCATTGCTGCCATTTCTTTGAAAACACTATAAGACTAAATTTGAAGGTCAGTGGGGGGCTTCCTACAAAACTCCCCTTCACCGATCCTTGCGTCAAGCCTCGGCCCGTCCGTGTAGAAGTTCCCCGGTTTCTACTTCCAACTACGACGTCCAGCCGTTAGAGCAGCAGAGTGCCACTAATGCCTCATTCGCTGTCTTCGCTGTGTTGGACTTCCACCAGAATTAAGGTCAAGTACTTGACTCAATCAGAAAGCACAAATAGTAAGACTCCAATTGCAGGAAGAGTCGCGTGTGGTATCCTAGACAAGATGGATTCCTTATTGCTGTTGGTGAATCACTTAGTCACTGGGTTTTAATTATTCGGCATCCTCTGCTCTTCAACCCGTCTAGCAAGCAGGTCTTCTACGACGCAATCTAAAGAAGGTGTTAAAAAACGCAACCCAGTTTACCTTATGCTTTTAAATTAGTGCGAGTACATAACTAATGAATGAGACGAACTTGGAAAATAAAACCAAACCAGTAACTCATTTCCTAACTTTTTATTTAATGTAATATTTTTTATACAATACAGAATTAATAAAAACTGGGAATTTCCCATAGAAAAATCACCAAGTGATTAGGCATTCCAATTACACATTTACACATGTACATACATATGTACGGGCAGTGAAATCACCTTCCGGCATCCCCAGAATTCGTCATCGTCTCATTTTAAATATCAACACGCGTATGTACATAAATAAGTACATATCTTCAAGTAAATGTAGCACTTGCAGTTATTGTTACGAATTCTTATTAATGCATATTTGTAGATACATAGTTATAGGCTTCTGTTTTCAAGCGAATATAAAAGTATACCTTTTTACATCTGGCTCATAATTTCCTTTGAATAGACTGTGCTGCTATGTTTTTGAAGGAAAAAAAAATTCTTGACTCTGCACCGTTACCTAAAATAAAGGTTACTTTAATGGTCATAAGTAGTACATACAAAGTATTTTGCTGTCGCTATGAACTTTGCCAATAATCTTTTTTCCAGCAGTAAGCTTTTGTTCTACGCTCAAAATAAACACATCCATGAAAATTTCAAAATTAAGAAAACAGGCAAAATTTAGACGAATTTCTGCAATTAAAAAAAAATAAATAAAGTTTGAAATTTTCGTGGATGTCATTATTTTGTACGCAGAAAAAAATAAAGCGATCCCCCTTACAAAGTTTAGATGTGGATATTTTAAGAACTCCCCTACTGTTTACCGCAAACACAACAAGTTCTCAAGTGATGAAGTTGTTTACAAACATTCCTAAATTCTGCAAATGATATTTATTTACATACATGCATACATATAAGAAGATTAGGTATTTTTCAACAATGGCAATCGTATTCACTACAGAAGCCCTCAAAATAACGAAATAAAGCGTACTGAGATAGAAAAGCTTCTACGAAATTTCGTAATTCGATTCCTAAAAGTAAATTGAGTGGTTAATGCATTAATAGTATATGAATGCTTCACTTTCCAAAGAGATTAAACCGACTAACAAAAAGTTGAGAGATGCGATCAAATAATGTAAAATTTTTTTTTATGCTCTTTATAATATAAACTGTTATTACAAATAGTATATATTATTATATCTTTAATATAAATAGGCCATCTAAAAACTGTATTTACTCGACAAGTACTACTTATATCAATGTGTGTCTTAAATTTGTAAATACAAAAATAAAAATTTATAATATTATGTTAAAATGAATGTGGTTAAGTATTAAACTAGTTAATGAAATTACACACACAGAGTGAAAAGATGCTAAATCCACTTTTTATGAAAACTCGTATTTTAATACAGGGGCTAGAGAAATTGAAAAATCATTGTTTCAAAAACGATAAAGGCACTTGTTTTATTTATTCTTATTTAAATTCAATGAAAGGAAAATTTGCTAAATCCAAAAGAAGCACCGAAAATCCGATAAGCCCAAAATAGTACGAAATCTTTTAATAAAGATCGAATCCCTCTAATTTGTATGGAATTTTGCTTTTCTTAGAACGGTCAAATGTCGTTTTCAAGTTTCTTTCCTCTCCTGTAAAATTTTTTAAAAGGAATATAGCATTAAATATTTGAAAAATTAAATAATGCGGAATTATTAAAATTATATATTTTTTATAATATTACAAAATCTAAAATTTTGGTTAATCTGAGTGATGAAAATGATACAAATTTTGAAGCGTTCTGTTCGAAATACAGCTAAAATCTGAATAGAAGGTGGAAAGCTTCAGGCACCAAAGTCAAGTGTTGTCACAGATCTTAGTCAAAGATCTTGGTTATTGTCCGATTTTTAAAATTTTCGGCCATGTGGTATGCTGTACCTATACCATGTGGTATGCTGTGCTAAGTTTGGCTACGCCCATTTTCGAAAAGTGTATAAAATTCTTATTTTTCGTCTAAAACTTATTGTAAATATCAATTTTGAGTGAATAATCTTCAGTAGTGACTAAAATATCGCAGTTTTCGTATTTCTGAAAATTACCGTTATATGAGAGGTAGGCGTGGTTATTGCCCATTTTCAATACCATCCGTCCTACGCCCGAAAGAAGTGCACGTACCAAGTTTCGTTAAGATATTTCAATTTTTACTCGAGTTATCGTGTGCACAGACGGACGGATGGACGGACGAAGTCGACGCTTAATCGCTTTCTCAAATCATAGTCATCTTTTACTCCATGTAAAATTTTTCACTCGTTCGTTTTGGCGAGAAGAACATTTTCACCGTTAATTTTAGCGTTTTGAAATATCTAAAATTAAAAAAAAAATTAAAAATTTCAAAAATTACAAAATGTATGTAGTTGCGACAGATATTCTGGTAAACTCTTGAAACTTCACAGATATTTATGTATGTTGTATTTGATGTCAACGTCCATTGCCTTTAATATGAATATTCTATTTGAAAACTTCGCAAAAAAAACTTAAAATTTTTTCGAGAGACAATGAACAATTTCGGTACTTTTTTGCCTAAATCGACGTTTTAAAGCTAAAATTGCTCAAATACTTGATTTATTTTTTATTGTACTTGTTTCTGGAACTCTATTGATTGAAATAAATGCAAGCACGCCGTCTTCAAAAGAGGCACAACTCAAAATTTGTAATTTGAAATTATGCGCTAAAAATGTACACAGAACTTTTATTTACCATTCAGCAAAATCTGGAGAAAACTTTTGTTATAATTTGTTAAAAAACCCTAGATTAGAGTATCCCTTGTCCATATGATTAGCAGGTGCTGACAAATAGTTTTTAACATTTTCTGGCAAACGTGCGATTTTGAGTTGTGCCCCTTTTGAAGATGGTGTGCGATATGTATATATAATTAAAGGCCAAGCTGTTATCATATATTCTACTGAATACTTAAATTCACTTTAATTGCCAAACAATAGAACACAATGCTAAGTAAACTGGAAGTCGACGGGCGGCAAAAAAATTTTATAATCTAATGGCCTTATTCATAAAAAATAAAGTAGGTTTAAAGAGTTTTATAAATTGACGTTTTCATACATTTTTCAATTTATAAACCTTTTATAAAGCTACTTTATTTTTTATGAATAAGACCTTAAAAATATAAAATAGAAGGTTTACTCCTGCGTAGCGCATATTTTAACCTACCTTCGGGAAACTGGCTTTGCACAGCGATGGCACGGGTTCGATCCCTGCTAAAGTCTAGAAAAAAGAAGTCTGATGAGGAAATGTAGTGATCTCCGAAAGAGCTGCTATAACTTTGTTGCTTTTTCGATTTTCCCTGATAAACAATCGTGGTACAAAGCTCAATAACAATATTAATAGAAAAAAAAAAATTTATTTTGTTTATATTTTTATGGACTAAATGAATGGAATATTACCTTAAAGAATTTGCTTGAAGCTTCTTCTAGCCTAGCCCTTGAAAGATTTAAGATGTTTTTTGTATGAACATTCAGCTAGAATTGCATCTTGAAATTTTTTAGCGCTGGTAAACTAGTATTATATAAAGTTACAATAAATATAAGTAAAGACTATACTAAGTGCCTTCACACTTCAATTTAAGACAATTCAATTCATATGTAGATATTTACCCATTTGCCTCGATCGCATTTTAGCATAATTGGCTAAAACAATATCCATAAACAGCAGCCCAAAACCAATACACATGCTGACCACAAGTTTATTGAGCTGTATGTTTGCATTTTCAGGATATCATTGGCACTTACCTCTTTGTTAAATTTTGCAGTGTTCAAGCAAATTCGGAATGGTAATCAAAGCTAATTATCAGGCCTTACCTCTGTGTGTGGCAGGGATGTAGCAGGGATGGAATATTAAATTTTCAAATTTTCAAATTGTGCCTATTTTCGGAAAAAATGTCCGCCCATCGGTGCCGAGTCGAAGGATCTCTTCACTGAAGCGTCATTATCCATGCGAACAACATGAACAATGCCAATGAAAATATGAAATATTTGCCTGCTAAGTTATTTGGGTACTTATAAATTAAATGGAAGTACAATTGTATCCACTTTTTCATCACTGGTGTGAATATATACTTATATACTTACATACATTATAGGTGCATAGCTAGGCTTATCGAAGTTCATACAAAGCATCTGATTGTAAGGACATTTGGTTTATAATTTTTTTGTTAAAATAACTAAGAGTTTAAAAGGTAAATTATAAATAAAATTACAAATATACATTTATGGTTTGTGGCAAGTTTGAAGTGAGAATTTAACAAATTGAGAATGTAGTGTTGTGAGCACTGTTGCCAACTTAGTGCTTTTCGCGCTAAATTTAGTGCTTTTCTTCACCCAAAACGCGAACATTTTTGAGTTTGGTGCTTGGTGCGTTTTTTGGTGCTTTTATTTTTTTTGAGTTTGAAGACACCAATCTGTAAATCTTAAAAAAAAAATCAAAGCTAAATTAATAGCAAACGTAAATGTTTTAGCAACTTTACAAAAATGGAAACAAAATCATAGCACAATGACAATCGTAAGCGAGCATATGTTTTCCCACTATGCGTTCAAATAAGGCACGTTAAAAAGGGAATTCAAATTTCGAAATCATAAGAGACCGCAGTATAGATTTAAAATACCACATAGCTCATGAAACTTCAGTTTTTGTTTTTGCTTTCGTTTGAGAGGAATTGTAGAAAAAATTATGCAAAACGAAGAAATATTTAACTTATGAACAGTCAGAGAAAAATTTAAAATTTTTTCATTTATTTAAATCGGCATCCCTACGAAAAATAATTGTTATGCGCATAAAGTCCATTAATGAGTATTGAATAAAACTTTGGTGCTTTTTTCGAGAAAAAAACGCGATTTTTCTTAGGTGTTAGTGCTTTTTCAAGCTCAAAACTTGGCAACACTGGTTGTGAGTATGTATTCGTATGTGTGTATGTATATGTCTGTATATTTGTATTTGTATTTGCATAAGGTACACATAGTCGGATAGCGTGTGAAGTAATTCGAGCATCGAATTTAATTTAAATACCTAACAACAATACATGTTTGTATGCATACATAACTACATATTTATGTACATAAGTAGATGTAAATGCTTATGCAAATCGAAACTAAGTAGCATTATTTAAAACAATCATTTGTGTATTTGCCTCAAGTGGACAAGTTTTGCAAATATGTATAACAACAGCATAATTTGTAATTGAGTAGTTCAGTGATTGTGTGCCATTAGCATAATTACATAATTACATTTATATATTTTAGTACAATTCGAAGAATCCACGCGAGATAATTTCCAATTTAAGTAATATTTTTTTTCAGTAAGTTTTGTGCTATATTTTATTGTAAACTTTGAATTTTTGATTTTAAGTTTAGAAATTTGAGTAAATTTTGAATTTTAAGCTTTATAATTTTCTCAGGTGTGATTTTACAATGTTTTACGCCAGGGTATACATATGTATGCTTCCTTTACGGCTGTGATGCCATACGTATACGCGCCGTAGCCCGCGATTTGGTATGTATTTCAGCTGTTCGTAGCGTGATGCCGAAAATATCCTCGTGATAACGATTTGCGTCCTTTAGAAAGCAAATAGATAGAAGAAAAAATCAACAATTTTTTTGTGGTTAGTTTGATAATTTTCTGCTCTCGAAATACATATGCGGAAATATTTTTATAGCTTAGTAAGCCACCAGTAAGCGGCAAATAATAATAAGAAGAAGAGTAAGCATACGAAACTCTTAATAAAAAGCTAAAACTAGTTAAGCAAAAATTCTACTTCAGAAATAAGTAAAACGACTATGATGAATTCGAGCCACTAAACTTTTCCCCCGCTTTTATAGAAATCGTTCTTCAAAATTTGGCACTATCGGGGACAAAGCGAAAACGCAAACCACTACCTTTATGTCGCTGGATGGAAAAATTTAAGTGTTTTACAGTGATTGAGTTCACCCTAATCAAGGACAGATATGATCTGTATGCGACTTTTTTTGTTGAAACCTCAATGCCCATTAAAGTAAGATATAGTACTCTCCGATTATCGACGGACCGATTTTGTTCTGCCCTGGAGATTTGAATTCGTTCCCATGAACTTTTACCAAAATAGAACACCTTTTAGTGCCACAAGAAAGGAGCACCGCCCAAGCTGTTAGTGGTACCAAAATCGGCTGGAAATCAGAATATTAGGGAAAATGCCATTCAAATCCTCAAATTAGGGAACCATCCTTCTATGATCACAGTGGCGCACGCTTTACAATTTTCACCCAATAACAAAGTAATCAGCATTACGAAACCTTAGAAACTTTGTATCTAAACAATGAGCTACGAAATAACTTGCATTGAGGGCGTTTAGTGCTAATAGAAATCTTCACTTCCGATACATTATTAGTTTACCATAAATTCTGACCCCTCCTAGAATTGGGAAAACATCTTAATCCGCATAGTAAGACAAAGAAATTGGAATCCATAAAAGATAAACTAAAGAGTAGTCGCAAGTCTTCTATGGTAGCATTGAGGAATAAAATTCTTGAGGTGTTTACATTGCGAAAATTCTTCCGAAGCCTCCATCATTTATTTATACCATCATCCCCAACCCACACATTGGATTTACACAGCTGTTATTCAACCGCTAGTGCTTAGCGGTGCCTTGGAATGGTGGCTAGTGATAAAAAAATAAGTATTTAAAACTGAGGCCTTGTGCATCACACCCGCGAAAGCGCTAAAGAAAATTTTTAACCCCTAATATGACAGTTAACAAAATAGTTATTTGGCCACCAAGGTGAATTTATACAAGGTGGTGTTGTTTGATCAGCTGATTTCTTCACCTTACATGTATGTTGTTTTTGCTTTTACTGATTTGACAACACACCCATTAAAAAAAAAATAACAATACATGTAAACTTTGGGGCGAATTGAGTTTTGACATAACACCCGTAATATAAAAGACATGTGGTTGTTGTTGTTGTATTCCTGCTACCACCTTGTATAAATTCGCTTTGTTTGGCCACAGTAATTAAGGTTAGCTAAGCGGTAAATGAGACCAAGTCGTTCCTCGTAATAGTTTAAAAAAGTAGCTTAAGAAAGGAGCTGAGACTAGTTTGTAGCTAACTATTAACTAACTAGCATTCGACTAGTGGTAACTATTTATTAACTATTTCCGTTGGCCGTTACTAACTACCATTGAAGGGCAATGACCGCAAAATAGTGAAAACTGGTTTCCTCTGCATAAGATGTCAACTAACTTGTAGCTAACTACTCTTGGACACAAAATTTCAAGAAGAAAAACAAAACATTTTTTTTTGTTCATTTACTTTTTTTTATTTATTTATTTACTTTATTTTATTACATTTCATATTCTGCTGTAGGTGGTCCGATATTCGAACACCGTGGGGCATAACTTCAAAATGATAATGTAAAATTTCTATCTTCCTTTTATTTGTCATGAATACGAAAAAGAACCTGCGAAGTTCAGAGAAAAGTGTATTGAAAGTAATTTTTGTGGGGATATTTAAATAGAAACTTGTAAAGAAAAGAAACTCCCGATAATGTGTGCATGGCTCTTGCACGACTTTACTACAAACTTAAAGTTTGTTTTGCCATAGCTAATTGAAAGTTAGTTATTTATCGAACTCCCGCAAAAAATCTAACTAGAAGTTGGTTATTTTAATCAATTGATAATTTTTTTTCTGCAGGGTATATTTCGAGTAAAACGGATGGAAGAAATAATTTCGGTCCGATCGCCACAATTTCCAATTCTGTACGGATGGATCCAAAATAAGTAAAGGGAGGGGGGGGGGGGGGGGGGGGGGGAGAGTGTAGTTATTTAGCCGGGAGCCTCGACTTGAATGGGCACCTAAGCTCCCGCGAAGCAGCCGCTACTGCTTTAGTGGGTGTTATGACAAACTCGGTTTGTGTTCAGCTATGGGTGCCAGGGCACTAGAAATGCAAATTATTGTAGTGTAGTACGTAAAATTTACGTATATTGCGAATAACGTGGGTAAAACTGTCTTATGATTCTAGAGTTATTAATATGTACATATGTATGTATGTATATATTTGTAGCTCATGGCATGTATGTATATATGTATGTATGTATACACAGTTCACATGATAGCCTCTAGAATTGAAATGGTCGCACTTGCAGCATTTAAGTCAAACGCAAAAGTACTTTACCCCCTATTTTAGTCCATCTTGAAACAAATACATACGTACTCCCAAATGTACCTCAAAGCGACTATTTAGTGCACTCATAGTTGCAGTGGTAGTCAACTTACGAGACCTTTATTTTCCATCATCATTTCATTTCAGTACTATTTCGGCATTTCCCTCCTGTTTTACCTTTGTAGATGCTGCAAACTTTACAATCGCAAATGTTTGCACAAAATGTGAAAACTTTACTCACATTTGGCATATTGTGGTTGAGCAGTGCTTGAATGCTCGAGCATAAAATAGTATTTATGCACATTCATAGAAATAGCAGAAGAAAACAAATTTACTAATGTTCCCCTATCCCGACATGTAGATACATTAGGGCGGTTCCCAAATACACAAAATAATTAAATTTTTGTAATTTTCTTGCTGCCACCCTCAGAATTATAAAAATAGAGAAATAAGAAGAGGCATATATTTTAGTTTGAAATCGGTTAATATTTAACCGTGTCGCCGGAACAGTGCGCGCTACCATTCCAGAAGCTCTAAGTTCGAGCCAAGTTTCCGAGCAACATCAAAAAATTATAAAAAGGTGTTTTCTAATAGCGGTTGCCCCTGCAGCCACAAATCGGAGGAGAAGCTCGGCCAAACACTACCATATTGAGCAAGGGCCAATCTATTATTTATTCATAAAAATGAGAATATCTTGTGAAAATGAGCTAATCTAGCAAAATAGGATCTACGACCTAAAATTAAGTTCACACTTTTCGGCAATTTTTGTGTAATTTCGAAACTTGAAAATTTCGCTTCAGTTTATCGGTTATAACAAACTATGTAATAAAATTTAAAGTTAAGTATTCATCATAATTTTATAGTTTGGAGGTTTATAAAGGGAAATTTTTTATGCGATCCAAAATCTCTATTTTTAACGATTTTATAATAATTCAATGAAATAATGTATTTTCCCCATATAAAATACATACGTACATAAATATATGGGAAACTTCAAAACCTGGTGGCCTAGTTAAAAAAATATTACATTACCATTACATAATAAATAAAAAATCGGTTCTCCTTATTTTTAATATTGCTCAGTTTAGGAGATTGGCTGAAAAATAAAATATTTTAGACCAGCCTAATGTACATACATACATGTCTAGAATCACAAAATAAAACACGTTCATACACATGTTTGCATATATTTTATCCTAAACATATGTATGTATGGATGTGTTAACTAACGCACATCAGTCAACGGAATCGCCATTCACCAAAACATAAAGAAACTACTCGTCGTAGCATTAAAAAACAAAGAACTGGCGTAAACTCTACGCTGCATGCCTCATACACACATACATGCATATATACACATTTTAAACATCACTCAGTCACATCCGCCCTGCAGGGAAACCGCGGACTAGTGAATCAAATTTCTAGTTCCGAACTAGGTCTTTATCCCCAAAAAGGAACTAGTCCGATAGGAACTAGATCCCCACCTGTCCAAAATCGGCGAAAAGTGGTACTTTTAAGAAACAAATTTTTTCAGTTTTTTTTACTACAGATCTATATCTAAAGTGACGCATTTAGAAATGGTTCGGAACTATAGAAAAAGGGATGCAGAACGAACTAGATCCTATTTGTCGAATTTAGAACTATTTTGGAACTATCGAATAAGGGATGCAGCGGAGGGTTGTTTACTTTACATAGATATGTGTTCGGCGGCTTTTTCGTTCAAATACGCTTTTATTCTGTGCTTCGCAGATGCTATTTCATAGTTTGGTAATACAAAACAAAGCTTTGTGTTAACATATTAACATCTTGGGGCCATCTGGAATCTAACCAATAACAGCGAGCACCTCTGCAAAGTCAGATACAGCAAGGTATGTAAACCTACATTTCTTACAATCATTCAAACAAATTTAATTTCAAATTGAAAAAACGTTTATTTGAAAGTAATGTAAAATCGCACACGGAAGAACCGAAAAGATTGAAAAATCATGATACTTTTTTCTTTCGTCTGTCGATTTTTGAACTGGTTCGGAACTATAGAATTTAGGACTAGTTCGGAACTATCGAAAAAGGGATGCAGCGGGGGGCAATTGACACTTCCTAGGACATCGCCATGTTAAATTCGCCAGTTGCTTGCATGCAAAAGAGATTTATCGCGAACCAGTACTGGGTCTAAATGTACTAGAAGCGCCCCAGTTCAGAACTAGAGATTTTCCCCACAGGGCGCGCAAACACCCACTTTTGCAGATTCCCTCTTACATACATATGTACGCGTGTTATTTTTTCCTCGCCTTCGCATACACTGCATTCTTGAAAGCATTTCAACAATTCACGTGCTTGCATGCGTACTTACTTTTGTGTTTTTGACTTACCCGCAGTGTTAGCATAAATGTCTCAACTTCAGTTTCTGGTTTTTGCTCTTTTGCGGCAATGCATTTCCTGCAAAGAAAAAAAATAAATAAAAGAAAAATAAACTATTTGAGAATTACGAAGTTAAAAGCGTAATACATGTCAAAGGTGTGAATTCAGTAGTTCGACATACATAGATACATATGTACACGCAGAACGTGTAAATGTACACTTAATGGCTGTAAAGTTATTCGCTTGAGAAAATTTAAAGAGTTATTTACCCTCGGCTGAGGTGAAACTTGCACAGAAAACAGTAGCGATTTAGCGAACAATAGTGTCAGTGAGTGGCAGGCTGCAAACAGGTTGGCAACTCTGGCGTAAGTTCTTCAGCGCCACTTGATAGCATTTATTTGTAACAAAGTGATGTTTTGCGAAGGCACTCGTATACGATGCGGACTTTTTGATTTTGCAGATTTAACCTTGCAAGTGCTTTCATGTTGAACAGATGGAAATACATACATATGTACGTAGAACCTAGTACGTTAACGGAATCCATATCCACATAAATATTTGGTATTGTATATATATGTACAATATACATACAAAATCGAATCACCATTAAAATATTTCACGAATAAATATTTTATTAAACTCTTTGGCATGTTAAAATATTTAGAAGTCAACACCAAATCACGACAATGATCTTCTAAGAAATCTGCATCGAAATTAGGTTCCACGACTTGCTACTTGGGTCCGACTGAGCTTCCAAAGGGCACGGGAAGCTTGTCAGCCAATGAAAGCTTTCATAAAAAAATAATTCATATTCTGGTAAGCACGCTCACTTGGCGCATACATACATTTTTTTTGTTTATCGTACTTACCTAATCGTTTGGTAAACATGCTCGGCCATAGTGACGTCACCGCAAACATAAATGTGACCTTGCTCCTCAACAATCAGCTTATACAGTGAATCGAATTCCTTTTCAATCAAGTCCTGGACGTAAGTCTGAAAATGAAGAAGAAAATGAAGGGAAATTAAATAAAATTAATACCGCTAAGCCATCAACAGCAGCGGTCAGCAGGAAAAGTGGAACGGCGCTAAATTAAGTAATTCAAAAATAAGTATGTATCCAATCTTTTTGGTTGCTAAGGCTGACCTTCGGTATGTTGGGCTCCCGTGAGAGTGCCAAGAAGACGCGATCTAACATTTTATCACGCACCAGTTGCGCCTTCTCCTCTGCATACAGATCCACATCGCGATTGCGACAGCCGAAAAAGAGCCAAACTTTGGGCAGCGCCATATCGGCGTTCATTTCACGTAACATTTCGAACTCCTGCCAGAAGGAACGGAAGGGCGCAATGCCCGTACCTGGACCAATCAGCACAATCGGACGTGCATGCTCGGCGGATAGATGGAAACTCGGCGCGCTGCGCACAAACATATGCAGCTCGTCGGACTCGTGCAGATTGGCCAGGTAATTGGAGCAGACGCCATAACGCTCATCACCAATGCCATCCTCGCAGCGATAGCGTACAATGGCCACTGTCAGATGTATCTCGTTGTTGACTTTGCGCGGCGACGACGAAATCGAATAGAAACGCGCTTGCAGCGGCATTAAGTTGACCAGCACCAGCGTGGCGGGTGGCTTACAAGAGGGAAACTCCTCCAACACTTCGAGCAAATGTGGCAGTCGCCAATGCCGCCAATCCTCGTATGCGGACGAATCGTTGGCCAGCAGCTGCAAACGCTCCTTGTCCTGATTATCATCACAAAATCCAGAGAGCAGTGTGAGCATTTGACGCGTCGGCGGCGTGGTTACATCGAAGAAACGCAACAGCAAATTGCGCATTGAGTCAGGTGGCACTTTGTCGTGTGATTCCCACAACTTGAAAATACCGTTTGAGGTGTGCTTTTCTTTTAGCAGCTGCAGTTGCAGTACTTCGTCCACATCTTCCACACCAGTAAGCCGCTTTAAGACGCCATCAACAATTTCTGCACGATTAGCGGGAAATATGCCAACATGGTCGCCGGGCTCATACTCCAAGCCGGGTGCGTTGATCTTCAAAAGTATGGTGGTCTTCTCGCCATTACCAATGTTCGTGAGATTAAACGGCGTCTCTTTGATTTGACAGCAATAGACTTTCTTGTTGTGAAACTTGGACAACAACTCCTCGAGCGTGCCACGCGTCTTTGAAGGTACCAAACGAACTGTATTCACAGTGAGCGAGTCATTTTGTAAAGCCAGCGAGGCATCCGATAGACTTTCCTCCGGATCCAGACAGAAAGTTTCACAAGCGAGCTGCAAGCAGAGGATTATTTTAAAATTAATTTGCTTACCGCGGAATTAGCCGTATTAAAGGAAAGCGCGAACGAACCTACCTTAAACACCTCCGGTGCCCATTTACGGAAAGACTGTTCTTGTCCGCACATTTCATCGCCGTAAGCCATCTTCAACAGACGCTCACCGCCTAACTCGCCGAGTATATTGTCGACATATTGGCCAAAGGCGCAAAAGTTGGGATAGGCAGAGGAGCCCAAAGCAAACACAGCGAATCTGAAAGTGAGAAGGGATCGGTATAACAATTTCAGCAGGCATGCAGTGTGTAGAATTTATAGGAGCAAATGGCGATTATGTACCCTCAAGAGCAAAAACAGAGAAAATATATAAGACGAAGTCTTAAATATTGTTTCAATATCTAAAACTTACATATAGATATTTAAACAAATAAATAAATAAAATTGTTCTAACGATAAGTCAGAGCCATCCGCAGAAAAAATTATTGGGAACCACTGTTCTAATCGTAATACTAACTGATTAATATACACTGAAGCGGTCGTATTTTTGAGTAATAATATCTCTGGCATGTTACAATTGATGACAAATTTTTAGTTGGAAATACGCACTTTAAAACCGACGGGCTCGGGCCTCAGCTGTCACACTATTTTAACAGGTACTCTTAAACTATATTCACACTACAACTTAAATAACTTTGTTTCGATCAAATTACTCCACATAAACCAAGTGCGTTCACATTTTCTTTCACAATGCTATAGCACGTGTATGTACGTGTGTGTGTTGTTTGTACTTGATTTCAAAAAACAAAAAAAAAACAAATGATTGCATGCATTTAGGCATTTTTTCAAATTTCCTCAACAGCGGGGCTAAAATAAACGAAAAATCTTTTTTTTCCTCATATTGATTTTTTTTTGATTTGGTTCTTGATTTATGATAAACTATTTCATTTCTATTTAATTTATTGACACTATTTGCACCGGATTTTCCAGTTTTGGACCACTGTGCTACATGTGTTATGAATGTCGCAACGTTGCGATAGTTTGAGAATAATTTTCTACATAAAAGCATGTTCACATTGTCGCAATTTACGGCTCATTGGTAATTTATAAGCAAATCATGCTGAAACCAAGTCATTTCGCTTGTAAAATCTGTCAATAAATTAAATAGAAGTGAGATAAATTATCATAAATCCAGAACCAACTGAAGACAGAAAAAGTTTTTTTTTCATTTATTTTAGCCCCCGCTGTTTGGGAAATATGAAAAACTGCTTAAAGGCATACAATCATATTATTTATAAGTTATCAATAACAAGCAGCCAGTGACTTTTACTTTTAAAAATTATCAATATAAATCGGTCACTGATTTTTATCTTTAGAATATGGTTTATAAATAAAAGTCTTCAATAACCGTTATCTAAGACATACAATACAAACATCAAAAGTAACTGTTATTTGCAGATTATTTAGATACAAATTAAAAATAATTGTTATTTTTGATTTATAACATAAAAATCAGAAATAACTGTTATTTAGGGCGTAATTAAATAAAAGTATAAAAATAATTGCTGAAGAGCGATTTTTATAATAAAAGTTGTAACTGTTACGGTCTCTGATTAAAACACAAGATCTTAGTGTTTTAATTAATTTTTCAAAATTGACCCCGAAACGACAAAACATTAAATTAGAAATTTTATAGATGCAGTTTTATAGCTCATTAAATTTTAGTAAGTAGTAAATTTTAGTTTTAGTAGTATAAATATTAAAAATCAACGCGAACTCTTTGCCACTTGTAACACACTAAAAAAAAAAAATATTTTGATTATGATTAATGATGGTTTTTGCCACTTTTCTACTTGTAACTTTGGCCGGCTTGAGTTAAATTTTTGCATTTTGTTGAATTTTTTTTAAACATTTACAATTTGTCTTGTGCAATTTTTTTCGTTATAGGGAACCCTAATTGTTTTCAACTAGTTTTTATTATGTAGCATTTATTAATAGGAGCAGGAGAATCGATTTTCTTCAAAATTGCTCATTTCTCTGCACATTGCACTAAAAACTGTAATAAAAACCAAAAAAATTGGGCTTTGCCCATCTCTTTTAAATTTCATTAGCTTTCATTTAATTAATTTTATCAAATCGATTGAAAAACGAAGGCTGTCGACTATTTTGAACAGTTAATTCAAATTTTTGACCACTGTGCGTCGGCAGCTTGTCGACGCCAACAAAGCGTTTAGATAGTAAAGAAAAACTAATAATTCGAGAATAGTGGATAGAGAAAAAAGTAAAAAAACAAGTAATTTTTTGCAAAAAAAACACCGGCTTAAAATATATATACATATATATATTTCATGATCCAATGATCGGATCTAAACCAGATTAGTCTCTGAGAGACTCTACCTTTCCGATGCAAAAAGAATCGAAATCGAAAATCATAAACACAAAAAAAAAATATTCCGACGAACTGATAACCTCCTCCTTTTTTGTAAGTCGGTTAAAAACAAGCAATACGATGGAGGGTTCAAGAATTTTACAAAACAAGTAATTTTTAAGCAAAAAACAAAACCGGCTTCAATTCTCATAAAAAATTTAAGATTATCGTTAATCTCTTCATGATCTAATAATCGGATTTAAACCAAATTAGAATGGAACCACCCGCGAGGTGACACCTTTCCTTTCAAAAATAATAATAATTATAATAAACAATTATAGAAATCGGTTAACGGTATGCGGCCCATTATTTATTACAAAGTATAGTTTATTTTTATTTTTTAAATCCAATTTAAAATTTTGCGCAATATTAAAAAAAAAACAGCTTTTGTAACAATTTCCAGCTTTTTAATAAGATTTACCTGAAATATTTTGAGTATTCAGTTTTACATGCCATCCAGCTTAAGTACAATAAAGTGGAAGTTTGAAATAGCTAGGACTTACCGTTGATTTTTAGCACTTTTTGGCATCTTTTTGCACTTTGTCGTGCCAAAATTTAATGGGCTAGAAATACCATACCTTTCTAAGAAATCTAAATAAAAAGCTAATAATTTCTAAGAAGAGTTTATTGAACTTATTTTAAATATGCAACAAAGTTTGAAACTTGGCTTTGGTTAACGAATAAACTACATTTTTATAAAAAAGTTACTGACACTACAAAAATAAAATACCAAAACTTGTCAATATATGGTCCACTTATAAATTTGGCACGGGCTAAACTAGGTCTACCTTACATGCGATACATCCGTCCAACGCGGAACAACTTGAACATTTTTTAGAAGTGCACTGTAGTACACATAAATATTCATGATGGGATCTAAATACTAGTTTATGCTATCGCTTGTAGGTCGAACTAGTTTGGCTTAGGCAAAACTAGTGGGTCCTTAAATCGGATTTGGCCGTCAAAATATATTTAATTACATACATAGGTAGATGAAGTAATTACTTGTTTAGGAAGCCAACTGTTGAAACAAGTATGTAACACTATTTTGTGCGCAAAGAAAACATTATTTTAAATAATGAAAACTTTTTCTTTGCTTTATTTTATTTAATTTAAATTATTTTGTTTTCGTGCCCATTTGCCATTGAAATTTATCTCCTCTTCAAACACATTTTTTTGGAACAAACTTTATGCTTAAAGGGCAGATAAATTTTAAAAATGTACTTGAGAAAACGGCCCTTAGTATAATAATTTTTTCATATACATATTTTCTTTGCTTATTTTTTTGTATAATTTCCATTCTATTTTTTATTTATTTTTTTACTTATTTTATTTTACTGTGTTTTCATGTACTATCTATACTTATATACGTACACAGCTAATCGAATAGGTATCTCAAATAAATCGAATGTTGATAATTTTTTTTGAATTATGCACAGCACATGCCCCACAATCTCTCAATGGTTACGAAGACACTCCTCTGTAATATTTAAGCCATTTAGGCCGAACTACTTTTAGTCAACTCGTTAGTCAGTGCTCGACCATTAAAATGTTAAGTACAATATTAGTTTGCAAAATTTTCCTATTTTTTGTGCAACTTGCTCATCAAAAAGCAGTCTTAGCGCAGGAAGCACCTCTCACAGAAACTTCACTTGGCAGGATTCGCGGCAGTGTACTGACTTCGCGTAAAGGACGTGATATCTATGCCTACCGCGGCATATATTATGCCGAGGCGCCGACCGGATCACGGCGATTTGCGGCACCTGAGCCAGTCCAGCCATGGAACGATACGTTAGATGCGTTAGCGGATGGTCCGATGTGCCCACAGGAGCTTACAGGCGCTTTAATGGACGAAGACTGTTTGTCTCTGAATGTTTACACCACAAATGAGACGGCATCAAATCCAGTGGTGTTTTACATACATGGTGGTGCCAATAAAGTTGGTAGTCCAAATAGTGAGAGCGCCGCTGGACCGCAGTATTTGCTCGATGAGAATGTAGTGCTAGTGAGCGTTTTCTTTCGTATCGGCCCGTTTGGGTTCCTTAGTACAGGCACCGAAGAAGCGCCCGGGAATTACGGTTATTTGGATCAAGTATTGGCACTCAAGTGGGTGAACAAACATATTCAGAACTTCGGTGGAGACCCCAATAGAGTCACACTAATCGGAATGAGTGCTGGGAGCTTTGCGGTCAGTTTGCATTTGGTGTCGCCGTTGTCAGCGGGTCTCTTTCACGGTGCCATAGCAATGAGTTGCAGTACAACAAATCACCACATTATAGACAATGCATATTGGAGCCGAAAGCTCGCATATGATCTCGGCTGTCCCATGTATGAGGCTAAATATTTAGTAAATTGCTTAAGGCAGATTAGTTGGGAAGAGATAGTTAACGCGACGGTGAGGTGGGATACTTATGGACTGCTAAATACAAAGTGGAACTATGAAATTGACGGCAATTTTGTGTTGGAGCATCCTAGCGAGGCTATACGCGGAAACAGATTTAATCGTGTGCCAATTATAACTGGCGTGACCCGAGATGAACTCGATTTCAACCCACAAAGTAAGTCCACACATCAGTTACACCCTCTACAAAATAAGCATTTACATTAGACCGTACAAGAAAAAAAGTTCGCCGTACACCTTCGAATCTAAAGTATATTCTTACATGGCAATTATGAAAATAAAATTTTTTTGGCCAAACGTAGGTGTCGCCGGTTTTCTTATTCAAAGTTCATTGACCTCAAGTACCTCGTTCTAGTACTTACTCACTAGATCTCAGTTCAGCCTAACGTACCACCCTAATGTCAGTTAATTAAAGGTG